CACATGAGGCTAAGGTCCCAAATGGATGTTGAAAAAGGGCATGTAATGGCACCTCAGTATACCATTTCGGTAACTGGTGGTCATTTGGATTAAAGGACCCAAAACGACTTGAGAGAGCTGGAGAGTACAAAATAATTTTTGTCTCTAGTATCAAATGGTAATCAATAAGGCTGCCTTAAGCAGGGCAATTGTAGAAGATGCAAAAAGCCCAGCCAAAGAACCAGGTCAAAAAACGAGTTATGGTTGGTACTTTTGATCAAAGTGGGTTCAACCTCCTCTCAATACACCCTTGCCGCAATGTGTGCCATTTCTGTTGATAAATGTCCATTGTGGAACTAAGCAAAGCCTGAGACAGATACATTGGAACCTTAGGAATAAATCCCCGACACCATGCGAAGGACTGCATAACCTCCATGCCTGAAGCTTGAGCTTCTGGATAGCCAGGCATACTATGCCAGATCATGGCTGCCTCCACAGAGAAGGCCAAAAAAGAAGAAGTGGACACTTCTGAAAGTACACAGAAGCAGAAACCAGGGTGTAGCTGCCAATCCGGTGTTATCAACAGGACCCAACAATGGGTTGGTACAAATAATAGTAACTTGGGTAACATGTGAATTTGAGGGAAGGCTTAGAGTTGTAATCCCATCCAGTCCTGATGGAATGCATCTAATGCCAAAGCCCGAAGGTGAGGTACTGGAGACCAAATTGCCAAAAATTGGGTGTTCCAATGAGTGGCCAAACCCACCAATCATCAGTGTTGGAAAATGAGAACCAATCCAACAGAAACTTGTGATGCAGCATCTATTCTATTGGGAGAATCTGCTTGGGTTGAGACAATTAATTTGCTATCACAGATAGCATGGCAAGTTAGTAGGGTGAAATGATAGGAGTGGTCACAAGAAAAGAGGTCCAAGGTTCGAAAACAAGGAGCCCTGGACCAATTGCCTCCTAGATGGGAAATGCAAGACACCACTGTTGAATTGTCGGAGTGAAGCCTGAAGATTTTGCCCTTAATAACCCCAGACCATGAGACATTGCCTTTCGAACAGCAAGAAGGTCTAAAACATTGTGTAGGGAAGTCTCGTCATCTGTGCATAGACCCTGGAAATCCTGACCATCGAGATATGCAATCCATCTTTGAAGCAAGGCATCTGTGAAGAGATGGATCTCTGGACAAAGTGGTGGCAGAGAAACCCATATCTTAGTATTGTTCCAATCTAACCACCCCTTGAGATCTAACAATGATCCTGAATAAGGAAACTGGGGAATCCAGTGAATCAATGTTTATTATCCCTTGGTTGCACAAAAACCATTGAAAATATCTCTTGTGTGCTCATCTCAAAGGCATAAGGGATTTGAGTGATGCCCACGTTCCTAAAAGAGAAAGAACCGTCTGTGCAGTAGAAGGAGGAGAGGTGAGTAAGAGTCAGGATTTCTGTTCCATAGCATGGAACTGGATAGAAGTCAACTGAACCTGTCTGAGATACGTGATGAAAAACAAACAAACTCAGACTGATGACATACTGAGTTCAAGCAAGAATAGATGTCTCAGCTCAGAGAATGAAGCATGCCCTGGTTTCTACTGAAAGTGGAATCTGGGTGTGACGTTCTGACAATTGACGAGATGGTGTCAGCAGTAACCAGTTGCCTTTGTAATGGTGTGTGCACAGAGGTAGGGAATGGAGGTGATGAGAAAAAGCTCATACGATTTGGCAGAACCTATGTGGTGCCGATGCCAGTCTGAAGGTAAAAATCCCTGAACTGCAGTACCTGAGACTTGTGCACAAAAAATGCTGATAGTGGTGGGACACCACCACTGTGGCAATGTGCAAATAAGAGCTGACTACAACGAACTTGGACATCCACAATCCTACTAAAAAATGACAACTCAGATTGAGGAAGGAATCACTTGTGAACATTGGAGAATCTAGGCATTGATACAGATGAGAATGATCGATGACTGGACACCAATCTCCTGTCTTCTTAGGCTCAACAACCAATGGGAATAAAACCCAGAAAGAACTAGCATGACTCTCTCTATATATATACCCAGACCAAACAAACTCTGATAGCCATAGAACCACGTTCCAAAATCTGAGGATCGGTTGGGAGATAGAAACCCTACAGGTTGGGTAGATAATGGTGGTGAAAATGTGAACTGAATGACTAATCCTGACTGAAGGACCTGTAGTGCCCACGAATCCGTGGTTAAGGTTTACCACACATCCAGAAATTCTTGAAGCCGAGCCTCCACAGACCCCGAAGGCATACAATAACCACCAACACCACTGGTGGCATTCTGATCCTAGCAGTGAAACTCTTGGATATGGACAGAATCTATTCTGGGTACCAATGTACCAAGGAGCTAATGTCAGGGTCTGGACCCTCAAATAGTGATGGAACTATGACCCCCTGTAGGAGCAGATGAAAGCCAAGATGCCAGTGACAACAGGGATAAGTTTAGAAGTCAACAATCAAACTAATATGCATACTAACAATGGTTTCAGATCAGCATCAATAGACTTGGTGATCCTGAGAGTTTTCTATAAAAGTTTAGTGTTAAGACTTACAACTGTCACACCAGGGGACAGCAATCTATTCAGGTTAACTACAAACTCTGCCTTACAACTCCTAATTTCAAGGAGCAGATGTATTATTTGACAACTGGAATATGCTTCCACCTGGTGGTGGTAGGCCAAATCACATAGTTCCGACAACTGTGGTGGATAAGGCAAAGCTGTTCTTTCACATAACTGAGCAGTAAACATTCCTGCATGAACTACAATGTCCGTGGATTGTGAGAAAACTATATATTCGCTAGCAGACCTTTCAGTCATCAAGTAAGGTGCAGGCACAAAAGCAACTGAGGAAAGACCCAAGACATCACACTCTCAATGAACCAACTGAAGAAAATAAATCAGAGGCAGCTTATCCCAAGAAAATAAATCAGAGGCAGCTTACCCCAAAATAGCCTCCTTTGTTATTTCTTTTTAATACTGTTCTTATTACTATTGTTTCGAACATTTTGTCTGGTAAATTTTTTGTTAGAGTAGAGCAACGCTAGCCTATCTGCTGTGTTCACTATAGGGAATCGAACCCTGGATTCCAGCATTTTAAGTTCATAAACTTACCACTGACCTACAGGGAAACTGAGAAGTCAACAGAATAAAAGAAGACACAGAAAAAGTGAATCTAAATTCTCTCCAGAATGTCCAACATCGCCTTCAACTGCAGCCTCAGAGCCCACTGGAGGAACACCACCAAACCAAATATATATGTCTCCATCTCATTACAAATAAAATCACTGACAGTCTCAACTGGAAGGCTGTTTTAGAGATTATTGTTTCATGGTTTTTAGTATTGTTAACAAATGGCCTAAAAGTGTCACCTACATCTATCAATGGAGGTCCAATGAGAGAGAAAGCACAAACCCCTACAGGTAATAGTTGTTATGTGGTAACTTATACATGTAAAACATGTTGGTTTCAATACTAGTCTTTTGATTTAAAAATAAACTAAATGATTGTCATCTTAATTAATGATTCTGTACAAATATAGAATAATACAATATAAAAAATTAAGCTTTTATCCATGATCTTTCAAGGTCAAAATAAGGCTCTTTTGTGTAAATTATAAGCCTAAATGTTCAAAAACTTATCCTAAAAATTCAAGAAAATGACTGATTTTCTTTTTTTCTAGTTCTAAATAAATGAACTTCAAAATTTATTGTTTTTCCAGTAACACTTAATGCTATAACTTTCATTTGTTCTAGTTCTAAATAAAACAACTTAATAATTTCTTGTGTTTTTCCATTATTATCGTAAAAGAAATAATTTTATGGTTAACAATATGAACATTATGTCCTCATAAGAATGTAAAAGGGGATGTGGGGGGGGGGGGGGTACAATGAGTTTTATTCTTCACTCTCTAACTAACCACTCGAAATAGCAAAGTAATGCCATAAGCATCTATTTGTGTAAAAAATGATTAAACTAGGTCACACTACATAGAAAAACTGTTTCATATATTTTTCACTCATGAGAGCTCATCCAGCTAAAAGTGAGTCTGGGGCTTCCAGTACCTAATGTTAACTCCTCATATTTGGGTTGCTGTTTTCAACCTCATTACTCCAGTGTTCAAACATGCCTCCCATGGGTTATTCATCAAAGCCCTAACAATTTTCTAACCTAATTCACCTTTGATTTTTTAACACACTTCTCCATGTAGTTTAAATTTCTTATAATATGAAGACCCTTACCTAATAAACACAAATTAGAACCCAAAAATTGTAAGGTAACAAAGGTACAAGATCTGGTAAAACATTAAAAGGCAATTATGTCTACAAGATCAGGCTAACTTATATGCACCTGTAAATATTTGTGATTTCAGAATTATATACAGGATTATGCAATATGTATTTATAACAATATGCTTGTATGAATGTATCAATACATTATGTTAATATGGAATGTATAAAAACTTTAGTATTTCAAAAATAAAGAAAGATAACTTTTAGTTTGTTCATAGTTACACATTTTCTATTTAAAAGTTATCTAGTCAACAAAATAAAGATTAACTGCTATGATGAAAATAAGTAAAGCTACTGTTTATATATTTTTGGTTTAAAAGTTTAAATGTTTCTAACTCTATACTAATATTCCAAAAAGTTTTTATTTAAAGTGTAAAATTCAAGACAGTACATGCAGTATCATGAAACAATACACTTTGCAATATTTGTAATTTTGTTATTAAACTCCACTTGGATGGAATAACATTACATTCACAAACTACCATTTTTTCAAATTTACTATAAAATCAACCATTTTTTTCAGTGATATACAATGTCGGTTTAGCAGTGTTAAGGTATTCATAACAATGCACTGACTATGTCAAACAAAGTATTGTCACCTGTTTATTAGTCTTTTATGTATGTATTTAAGAACTTTCATCAATATTTTATTTTTCTCATTGTTACATCATGTAAGATTGACAAATCTCACCTGTGCAGGTGTTTGAAGAGCACTAGTATCACTGAAAAATGCACTGTCACTTGATGCATTCTTGTCCAGATGAACATTGATTTTTCCTGAATCTAAGCTCATTTCCGTTTATCACATCATGCCAACTTTATCCTATAGTTAATATACAATAAATAAATAAAACACATACATCTTTATATATTAAAAACTACATACCAATGTATGTGAAACAAGAAGTTAAATTGTGATTTTGAAAGAGGTGGAATTTGTTTGTATGATAACACTTCAATCAGACTAGTTAGGCTAATGGCCTGAATCCTCAAGAGGTGGAACTCCATTTTACCCCAATTTAACCCCTGTGTGAAAAATGGATAATAAACTTAACAAACATGCAACTCAAAGCATTTTAACCAATTAACTTTTCAAATATCTGACATATTCAACTAGTTGAAAATGTGTTCTGAAACTTAAATTTTTGAGAAAGTTATATTTGAAGAATAAAGAAACCTGAATGTAGACTGTTCAAATTCACTTTATTATTACCTGTAGTGTTTTAAATTCCCAAAACAAACATAACTGGTGCAATGTTCAAACTTCCAGCAGTTAACTTGTTAATATTTTTCACAAATCAAATACTGTTTTAGTCTCACTTTAGTTAAAGGTTTAATGAAACCCAAAGAAGTCCATTCTAGTTTCTATCACCTCATATCTATTGGTAATTATTTATTTGTGAAATTTTTCTTATTATCTGACCTACAACTTGTCAGTTGTTGTGGAAAAACCATAACATGAAATGTGGATGCTGCCAAACTTCAAAAACACAAACCTGGTATAACATAAATGGTGAGTAACAATTTAATAAAACTAAGCTGTAATATCATAATAAAATATTTATATTTTAAAATACTCAAATCATTATTCTTTGATAACAATTATTAGTTGAAAATTACGCTGACTATTAAAGATGTTTATGGCAAATTTCATAGATTATTAAACAAAAATAAATTTCTGGATGTAAAACTGTACAAAAATGTAAAACAAAAATCAATTTGTTAATGTAAGAATTCTAACTCAGTCTACATGTTAGACAATAATCGGTGTAAGTTAATTAGGTGTTTCGATTTATTGCAACAAATTAACTTATTATTGATGAAACACAATACAATTTACTAGCGTTTTAGTAATAACGTATTAAAGATTATGAAGTTTGGTATGATGCTTTCACCTTTCAGTTTCACTTTCAAAAAAATTTTTTTCTCGTTCCCGAGATAATTTGCATTTGGTTCAAATCATAAAATATTTCAGTTAGATAATTCATTACACTACTATATATGAAAAAATAATTATTAAGTTATAAAAATTTATGAGGTTAATGATTTAGCGTTACCAAGTTAAACAAATTTAATTTAATTTTCAGCGACACGATGATGGCGTGTATAATTTATAAATTTATCATTGACTAATTACGATTAACTTCATTGATGCCTCAAGTAATACAGTGCGAGACACTTTCCACTGAATTTAAATAAACTTCTTATAATATTCTATAATAAAGAACAAAAACAAATATCGAAAATTAACTTACTTTAAATTATACTAATCTACATTAACGTAGACCTAATTCATATCCAATTCTATCATAATAATACGTCTTATTTCCCGCGAAAATTTCTGTCTCTTCCGTTTGCACCATAATATTTAGAATAGAGGGACTCGATGTAATTTAAGTTCATTGATTTAAAAAAAAATATGGTTCTTTTGAAAATGACCCAACATTTATGTCGAATTTAAATGCATTTGATTCAAAATGTTACATGTATATATTGTTTGAATAATATATATAGGTGTTATATATATATATATATATAAATATGTAGACATACACGCACACACACACTCAGAGTATACATAAATATAAATCTTAATAACAATAATTTTCATCAAGTATACAATGTACACTTTTGCAAACCTACATTTTAGTTTATCATCTGATACGTTTTGAATATTAAATACTTTTTCTATCTCTCTATCTATTTATCCGAACTTGGATTAGCTCTATTTTGACCGAGGAGGGTCAGATGCAATAATGACCTTTTCCTCGTTGTTGAAACTTTGTACAGTGGATGGCAACTGCATGTTGTAGAGAACAACAGGCAGTTGCCGTCCATTCTACAAAGTTTCATCATGAATACTCTGCCTATACAATCTATCAAATAATACATTTTTCTCCTTTCTTTGACTCCCCGCTCTGTATTTAAATAAAATTTAAAATGAATAAATGCGGATCTTGCTAAATATATGTGATTTTACCATAACCTAGAATATAGTGCTTGTCATTTAGGAGTGAAGCCATGTAAATTATAAAATTACCTGTAAAAAAATTCTATAGGATTTTTTTTTTAGGAGGGAGAGGCTGCTGGTATAGTTGTTAGCGTGCCTGGACTGTAAATCCAAGGATTCGTGGTTTGTGACCAGTTCCTGCAAAAACGTTCTCCGTACTTTGATGATGTGGTGTGCTAAAACAGTGACATAAAAATCCAGTTCTCTCAGACAACCGTAGCCCAAAAGATGACTTTGGGTGGTTTGAATTAACTGCTTTTCCTCTAGTGTATCAGTTCAAAATTAGGGACCGCTAAGCGAAGATAGTATTGTGCAGCTTTGCATAAAATTCTGAAATATGGATGTGTGTGAACTTTCTCAGAAGCTAAATGAAAGTCATAAATCAGAAGAGAGAAAAATAACTCATCTTAACGAATGTTGTTAATTGTTTTGTTTGTTTGTTTTTTGAATTTCGC